CCCCTCACCTGGAGCACCCCTCACTGGGAGCACCCCTCACCTGCAGCACCCCTCACCTGGAGCACCCCTCACCTGCAGCACCCCTCACCTGCAGCACCCCTCATCTGCAGCACTCCTTTACCTGGAGCACCCCTCACTGGGAGCACTCCTCCCTTGGAGCACCCCTCACTTGCAGCACTTGTCCCGATGCCTGGACACGGAGGAGTCTCCCCAGTGCAGACTGCGGGAGGTTTCCAGTTCTTTAGTCATGGGAGGGTGAGGAGCAAAAGGCTGTTGTTGCATCCCACCCTGAGACCCTCCCATGAGAGAGGGGGCCACTGTCACCTCAGGGGTTAGGGCTGCCCATGAGGGGTCAGGCCTCATGGCTCCTGAGGACCGGGGCAGCCGCTCTGGACTTCCTGAGGCTCTTCACAGGAGGGTCCTCAAGCCGCTGCTCGGGGGGCTCTGGGTACATGTGGGCTGGAGCCACCTGCCTGGCTCAAATCCTCCTTTCCGTGGGGGCAGGGGGATGCTCAGGCAAGTACTTCCCCTCCTGGCAAATAGGTCTGGGGTCCCTGGGGGTGCCCTGAGGGTCAGCGTGGCACCTAGGACAGCATAGGTGGTGAGAGCTGCATGCCTGATTGTAAACGGCCCACTGTGAAGCCTCTTGCTGTGGAGGCACAGGGCCAGATGGACACCGCAACCCTCCCTGCCCCCACGCCCCAGCGCCTGGTGGGGGGACCGTGTGGGGCACGGGGGGGGGGCGGTCAGCTGTCCTCGCTGCTCAGCTGCCAGAGTGGGCGCCCGCAGGAGTGAGAACGGGGAAGCCCGGGTGGCCATGGTGACTGTGGGCATCAGGGTGTGGGCCCCTTGGCTGCATGCCGGCTTCTGCCTCCAACCTTTCCTCCTCCCGGGACCCAGGCCCCACCCGCCAGGGGCAGAGGGGCGGGGCGGCCAGGGTGGAGCATGACTCAGGGCCCAGCTGTCACCATGGCAACCCCGTCGCCTAGCAATGGCCGTCTCCCAGGAACGGCTGTCTCCTAGCAATGGGATATTTTCCTGAGCCCTGGCTGGAGCCTAGCGGTTATTTTTAGCTCAGCGGCAAATCAATCTGCAGCTGCATTTTTGGCTCCTCCACAAGATGCAAGGTGTGTTGGGGGTGGATTTCTTGTCACAGGGAAGAACACATCCCCATGACAGGAACCTTGCTGCCACGTGTCTCCAGATACAGCATCCATAGGTGGGCAAGGCCAGGTTCCGCTGGGGGTGAGGGTCAGGGGAATGGGGTGCAGCTGATGGGGAGCCAGAGGAGTTGCCAGGCATGACTGTGTCCCTAATGGGGTCTCTGTGCAGGCTGGTCACTCCGGCACCCTGGGACTCCCTGGATTAAGCTGAGTAGAGGCAATCCAGGCCAGTGCTCATGGTGGGCACCACCAGAGCCCATCACTGGGCGGCCCAGGTGCTGGCAGGCTCCTGGCACCCCCTGGCATTTAGTTGGGGAACTGTCTCTGCTGACCCCAGCCTTCAGCCCCAACCCAGGGGTGCAGCAGGCTGCTCTGGACCAGCTGGAGCAGCACACTCAGTTGGTCCTGGCTGCAAGGGTCTGGGTGACCACAGGCTCAGTTGGGGACTTGGGCAGGGCTGGCCTCTGTTTTCCCCCTGCTGTTGCTAAAATGAGAGCCCAGGTGGGTCTCATGCAAGAGAAACACCTTGACTTCTTTCTCTGGGTTTTCTCATCATTTCAGCCCAGTTCACTCTCTCCTCCAGGCCAAGGCCTAGCTCTCCCACCGCTGATGGGCCTGGGGCTGGCCCTCCACTCCTCCCACTGGGCCACCTTCTTGGTTCCTTGTCTGCCCTGGGCTCCATACTGTCCTTGGGACCCTCGCCCTGTTTCTTGGACGTGGGCCGTCTTCCTGCCCTCATCAGCCATCAGATCTGCCCCGCCTTCCTGTTGCCCCCCCAGGTCCTTGACCAGCTCAGCACCTGCCTTGGTCATGAGTGCTCCTTCCTTATGCCTCCAGTACTGCGGGCTTCCGGTCAGGCGCCCTTTGCCGTTTGGGGTCACCCCCCTGCCGGAGTATGGGGCTCAGCTGAGATGCAGCTCGTTGCCCCAGCATCAGCTGCAGCCCCTGCCAAGAACTAGGGTTTGGGTGGGAATGAAGAGAGGCCCTTTTGGAGGGTCAGGACCCTGACCCAGGCCTCTGGCCCAGGGCCTGTGAAGGAGCCCCCATACTGAGCATAGACACTGGGGGAATTGCCTGAGGTTTGGGGTGTCTTCCACTCACCCATTCACTCACTGGTGCACACACTCCTTGCCTGTGTGTTTACTGAGCACCTGCAGTGTGTCTGGTTGCTGCCCATCGAGGGCAGGCATGGCCTTCTGGGCTCCCTGTCCTGTGGGCAGCAGATCTTTGATGGCTAACGCCACCCAGGTGCTTTGCTCTTGGGGGGGCAGCACCTGTGAAGACAGGTGGCCCCTGTCCAGGTTTTCTGTGGGTGACATTTGGCATTATCATGGGCCCTGGGAAAGAGGCCCGGGCAGGGGAAGCCTGGTGATGAGGAGTGGCCCAGGGCCACATGCGTGCCCCTTCCGGACCAGGCCACTGGCCAGGAACCCTTCCCTCGCACCCACAGGCACGGACTCATTCTCTGCGGGAAAGCTGGCGAGGGGAGCCAGGGGCCCCAGGCCAGCCGGGGTGGGTCCGCAGCTGACTCCTCGCACTGCTGCCAGAGGGCGCCCAGAGCCACCATCTGCCTCGGAGACCTGGGCAGGGGTTTGGGCCCCAAGGCCTGGTCAGAAGGTGGGAAGGGGACGCATGCCCCCCCCCCCCCGCCCCCGGCCAGGGCAGCTGTGGTGCTGACTGGAGTGCGCTCTTTCCTCCTCCTCCTGGCTGCTCTTTCACCTTCTACGTGCCCAGCACTGGCCCTGTCTACCTCTTGCGTTTTTACTTTACTTTTACAATTATGCATCCTCACCATTTTTAAGTAGGTGCACAGTTGAGTAGTGTTTGGCACATTCCCATCGCTGTGCAGACGGCCCATCTTTCCATCTTTCCACCTGAAGCCCTGTCTCCATTACACACCCTCTCCCCACCCGCTGCTGCAGCCCCTGGCACCCACCACCTACCTTCTGTCTCTATGAACTTGACAACTCCAGGGCTCATAGCAGTGGAATCATATGGTATTTGTCCTTTTCTGTCTGGCTGATTGCACTCAGCAGAACGCCCTCAAGGTTCATCTGTGCTGTAGCAGGGGTCCCCATCTCCTTCCCTTTTTTTTTTAAATTAAAAAAATTTTTAATAATTTTTTTAGATTTTATTTATTTACGAGAGAGAGAGAGCACGAGTGTGGGGGGGGCAGACGGAGAGGGAGAAGCAGACTCCCCGCTGAGCAGGGAGCCTGGTACGTGGGGCTCAATCCCAGGACCCTGAGATCATAACCCGAGGTAAAGACAGATGCTTAACCAACTGAGCCACCCAGGGGCCCCTAGATTTTTTATTTTTTATTTTTATTTCTTTAAAATATTTTATTTATTGATTTGTCAGAGAGACACAGAGAGAGCACAAGCAGGGGGAACGGCAGGCAGAAGGAGAAGCAGGCTCCCCGCTGAGCAAGAAGCCCAATGCAGGGCTCCACCCCAGGACCCCTGATCACGACCTGAGCCAGTCAGGCGCCCCCAAATCTCCTTCCTCTTTAAGGTGGAATCATAGTCCACTGTTGGACGGACCAGATTTTGTTTATTCATTCATCTGTCGATAGACACTGAAGTTGCACCTGCCCTGTGGCTGTTGTGATGGCTGCTTCTCACTCTCGTCCAGAGCAAGGGGTCTCTTGTAGCCTGTGGGTGTCTCCCCCTTCCCCTTGGGGCCACCTCCCTCATCTGTCAGCCATGCCCTTCAGGCTCAGGGGTAGCTTCAGGGCTGGGGTAGGCGGATAGTGGGGTGGAGGGCTCACACCCATAGGTGGCCGAGAGTCTATGCAGTTTCCTGAAGACCTTGGTTAAAGCTCTCAGTGACCCCAAAGATTCGAGTACATTGTTGGACTCCTGGCTTTGTGCCTAGGGCCTCAGTGATCTGACCCAGGGATTTCACCCTGTTCTGGGCCTTTGCCAAGGCAGTCTGCTCCTCTCCCCTGCCTGGAATTCTCCCCGGTGCCTACTTGGCTCTCTGTTCCCCGCCCCTCCCCTCAGGGGAAGTCCTTGCTACCAGGAAATCTCTGGGCTCCCAGACACTCCCCTCAGCCTCCACCTGTCTTGGCCCCATTTCAGCTTGTCTGGACCTCCCCGAGGCCTGATTCTGGAGCCCAGGGCTCTCCTTTGGCTCCTGCTTCAACATGGTGCCCACAGGCCCAGCATCTGACCCCTCATCCCTAGGTGCCATCTCTTGGGACCAGTCAGCAGGGCCAGGCTGGGGCAGCATGGAGACTGGAAGCCCAGGGCCCACTCTTGGAAAGGGCCACCTGAGATGAGCCGCTCTTCCTCCTACCCCCAGACAGGTTCCAGTGGGCGTTACTCCCACCCCTATCCCGGCCAAGGGCTCGAAGACAAGGGTGCATAGGGCGATGCGGGGGGGAGGGGGGCGCGAGAGGGCGACACATCACACAGAGCCTGGAGCTCTGTCCTCCGCGCCACCATAGCCGAGGCTCGGCCTCCCGACCCCACGAGCGCCGCTGCGATTGGTGGAAAGTTCCTGGGCCGCGCCGCGATTGGCCGTGCCCGGCCCGCCGCCTCCCGCTCTTGGCCCCCACGGGGCTGCGGGGCAGAGGTGGGGCGCGGGCGGAACTGTGCGCGGGGCCGGCCGGAGCCCGGGGTGCTCCCGCCGCCGCCCCGCCCGCCCGAGCCGTGGCGCTCCTTGCGCTGCTGGGCGCGCGCTCTGCTAGAGTCTCCTGGCCACCGCCACCTGCGCCGGCTACTCGGAGGACCGCTGCGGCTGGAGCGGCAGGTACGAAGCCCCGGAAGGCTGCGCTCTGGGGCTGTGCTGCCCCTCCGCGCCCCCAGGGTCCAGAGAACCAGGTGGACGCAGCTGCTTCTGGCTTCGGGGGAGAGTGCAGGACGAGGGGGCTGCGCCGGGGGAGGACGCGAGCCGCCTGCCTCAGCGCCTCCTGTCCTGTCCTGTCCCCAGCGGCCTGACCCAGGAGCCGGGCAGCGTGGGGCAGCTGTCCCTGGCCTGTTCGGAGGGCACGATCCAGTGGCTGTACCCGGCCGGGGCGCTGCGCCTGACCCTGGCCAGCTCCGACTCCCGACTCCCGCAGGCGCTCCAGCCCCGCCTGCCTGCGCCGGCCGCGGCCCTTTGCAGGCGCGCCAGTCTTCGCGGAGCCGGCGGGCGGGCGGCGCCCTGGAGCTGTTGCTGGCCGGGGGTTTGGGCCCAGCGCGGGGCCGATGCGTGCGCTGGGGTCCCCGTGAGCGCCGGGCCCTCTTCCTGCAGGCCGCCCCACACCCAGATATCAGCTGCTGCGTGGCCTCCTTCCGCTTTGAAATGCACGAGGACAGGTATCCAGAACTGCCTTCACAGGCCCACGGTCTTGGTGCTGATGGTGAGTGATGGGCTGGGTGGGGATGCGCCTGTCATCCCCATCGTACAGAGGGAGAAACTGAGGCATGAGAGTGAAGTGGGTTGCTAAAGATCACACAGCTAGTGAGGACAGGTCCAAGAGACAGAGAGAGGTGTGGGCAATCCCTCAGGATTCAGCTTAGGGAAAGGGCAGGCAGGACTCTTGGTCCTTGAGGGAGGGGGAGGGGATGACGGGGGACAGAATCAAAGCCTCCAGCCAAAGCTGTCCAGGGCTCCTTGGCCCAGCAGTGACCTCCCTCCCTTCCCTCAGTCCAATACAACAAAAGTCCAATGTGTGTCTGGTCACCATGGAGATGTTGCCTTGCCTCCCTGTAGGGCACCAGGCCCAGCTCTTTACTTTCCTAGAGTGTGGAGCCTGACCCCACAGGGGATGGGGGTCTTTCTGTTCTGCCTTGGGCCCCAGGCCAGAGACTCCAAAGCTCACGATAGCTTCCTGCCACCCCCCCGGGTTGGGCTGGTATCTTTGGGCCCAAGGAGACAGCTCTGGGCCACAGGGGTGTACTGGTGTGCACATGTTAAAATGGGTGTGTGAGAGTGTGCCCCTGGACACCCACTCCCGGTGCATGAGTCCTCGTGCCCACACGCGGGGCACAGCCCCTAGACCCATGTCTGTGCATGTGTGAGCGTTCAAGTGTCAGGTGCCCACATGCTCCCTTGGGTCCCCAGTTGTCATCAGGCAGGGGAGGGGCTGGTGGCCTGCCCTTTCCCTCCTCCCTCCAGGTGGGGGAGGCCTAGGGGGATCCAGGAGAAGGCAGGACCTACCCTCACCATGTCCCCTTCATGCCAGGTGCCTGCAGGCCCTACAGTGACCCTGAGCTCCTGCTGGCTGCGTGCACCAGCGACTTTGGTGAGTGTCTCCGCATGTAGGGAGCCTGGGGTCCACCCTCCATCCTCCCCTGCATGCCACTGGCCAGTGTGTCTCCCCACAGTGATCACTGGAACCATCCACAGGGTTGGCCACGACACAGAGCTGCAGGAGTCTGTTACCGTGGTGGCGGCTGCCCATGTCCTCTGACAGACACTGCTGCTGTTCCGGGGGTGGGGGGTGGGTGTCCGGGGGCTGCATGCAGGCCTCCATTCACACGCCGCTGCACTTCAGTGTCTGGACCGGCCCTGGCCCCTTCCTCTTCATGGGCTGGAGCCACTTTGGTGAGGCCTGGCTAGGCTGTGCACGTCGCTTCCAGGAATTCATCTGTGCCTATGTGGCTGCCCACACCAATCACTTCTGCCCCGTGAGGTGGCCCTGGACTGAGGGGCCTGGGAGCAGGGCACTGAGGAGGGGCTGGTCGAGGGGGAGTAGGGAGGGTTTGCCTCCAGGTGGTACCAGCTGCTTCTTAGGTGAGAGTGATAACCAATAAGAACACTGATTTCCTTAGCCAGCGTAGATGGAGTGTCCCATGCCTGAGCTGGCCCTTACCTCCTCTGAGCCCCCACAGCCCTGGGAACTGCTCTGATTTCTGCTGCAGAGTAGGACACTGAGGCTCAGGGCAGTGGTGCCTTGTCTAAGGCCACCCAGCTAGTGAGTGGGAGAGTGGCCCAGGCCTATGCCTTGGGGAGGAGCTGCTGCTTGGCCTGGAGGGAAGCAGGGAGCCTCCCCTCCATGTGGGAGTGGGAGTGGAAAAGGGCTGTAACTCCCAAGGTCTGAGGTGGGTGTGGTCCCTTACTGGGGGGCAGGTAGGCAGACACCACTCCTAGCCTATGAGGGAAGGGGGGTGCAATCTGGCAGGGTGCTAGACTTCTCACTGTAGTCCACTGGGAGCCCAGCAGAGTCATCCTGGCCCCATCCCAGCCTCGGGGAAGAATGGGCCCCTCTGTATGGAGGGCCCTGCGGTGTGCAGAGCATCCCTACATGGCTGGAAGCCTCGGGGAGTGGGGTCTCCCCTGTAGGGCCAGGCATGTTGCCCATTTCTGGAGGGCAGGGGCATACGATGGGGTCTCTAAGGAACCTTCCCTGCTACTGGCCCTATTGTTGCTGCCTCTGCTTTCCTCCTCAGCCTCAGCCACACAAAAGGCCAGTGCAGTTTGGGACAAAGCCCAGGGCCCTGAGGCTGAATGCCCCTGGGGTGGGGGTGCATGCAGGGGCTCCTAAACTGGGGACAAGCTGCCTCTGCTCACCCCAACCCCACAACTCCCAAGAGAGCCAAAGCTCAGGTTGTGGTGGGGATATGCATGGGCTGATGCGCTTAGGCCCAGAAGCAGCATCCCATCCTTACCTGCCAGTCTACACTAAGAAGGGGCTGACAGTGAGGATGGAGGCCAGAGGCCGTGTCATCTTTTAGGCAGGAACTGAGGCAGGGCCCCTTCCTCCAAATTTGGCTGACAATTATGGGTAGGGGAGGTAGGCTCCTGTGGGTTTCTGCCCACCTGCCCCTGCTGAAGTTCACTGCTGCTCCCTTCCTCCTGAACTCCCAAATATGGGGTGCTCCGTGCTCAGGCACTAGACCTCTCCTCCTCACTGTTAATATTCTCTCACTGGAGAGCTGGACCAGCCTTGTGGCTTTAAAAACCATCAGGATGTTGATGACCCTACATTTTGATCTCCAGCCTGGACCTCTTCCCTGGTCTGCAGACGGCTGTCTCCCCAACTGCCCCCTTCCCCTCACCAAAGAGTATCTTAGCAAAGAGCAGAGGAGATGAGTGTACACTCCTGATCCCCCTCCTGTTGGGAGGTTTTTGCACTGTCCAGATGGGCCCCAAGGACGGCTTCCTCTCAGGGGCTAAGCAGCATCCTCACCCTTGGTGTCTGTCCTGACTTTATGGTCAGCTCTCCACAGCCTTTCATTGGAAGGAGATGCCTAGCTTCACTAGGGTCACTGTGGACTGCCTCTCGGAGCACCTGTCTAAAAAAACATGGGGCAGCTGCTCTGGGGTGGGCTCTTGGTTGGACAGTGGTCTCTACGCACCTGCCCCAGGAAGTGCCTGAGCCTCCCATGCACACACCCTCCCCGGAGAAAGTGCTGACTTTGCAACCAGTACTCTGTTCATAAAGTGCAGAAAGGGCAGTTGTGGGTATGGCTAACAGGGCCAAAGGAGCCCCAAGGGTGCTCCAAGACATGCCTCAAAGTCCTGGGCCAGGGGCTTCATGCCTGCCCTGAGGGAAGGGGCCAAGGGGAAACGGTGCGGGTGAGCATGTATATGCGGGCCATGGGCTACGGGAACTGGCCTGTGGGGCACCTCTGGGCACGTGCACTCACACGGGTACACACCCAGCTGCCCAGTGCCCAAAGGCTGAGGAGCAGATTGTGGGATGTGAACATGAGCGTTGCGGGGTGTGCACTGAGGAATCGGGTTAGGTGCGTTCATTCAGTCAACACGTTTTTATTGAGTGTCTGTCAGGTGCTTCTCTAAAGCCGTGGCAATAATGCAAGGAACAGAAGACACAAGTGCAGGGTGCCATGTAAGCACCCCCAGCTTAGAGCCCAGTATACAACCTTTCTTTCTGGGGAGGGCCCCGTGACAGTCCCAAAGGAGACAGAATGCTGTGAGCCAGGTTGGGCCATCCCCCCTCCCCAGTGGTTTTGGGAGCAGGGCACTGGGGTTCCCTGCCTCCCGGGGACACCTGTCTTTCAGGACTGGTGGCAGCTGGGGCCAAGTACAGGCAGGGACGTGGGGCCGTCTGTACTTGGGGGTGGGGGCCGTGGTCCTGGGCATGTTTATATTGTCTGACGCTGAGGCTCTTGACCAGGGCGGCGGATAGGTCCAAGTCCCTACCATTCACGAGACACCTGGCCTCAGGTGGGATGAGGAGGAGGTCCTGGCTCAGGGCTCTGTTCCCCCAACTAGCTTCTCCCACTGCCAGGCTTTGCCAGGTCACCTCTCGAATCTCAAATGTTCGGACTTTTAGAGAAGGAAGGTGGTCTTCCCCTCCTGGGGCTCTTTCTCGCACCCCCGTGGCTGAGCCAGCTCCCCTCCTACCACACTCAAGAGTGTCCGCTCAATCTCCTGGTCAACCCTGCCTCTCAGCAGAGCGCCCAACTTCCTCAGGCCCCGGCGCAGCCTCCAGTCCCTGCGCACTCGGACTGACTGCCTCAGCTGTGGGAGGGAGCCGCAAGGCATCCACCCTGCACCTGCCCCTGGCTGGGCTGGCCTTCGGGGTGTCCTTTGGGCAGACACGCGCCTCCCCGGGACGGCCTCCCCACCCCCGGAAAGGTGCCTCCTTCCCCCCTGGGCTCCACGGCCGCCCCCCGGCTCCAGCCACGTCAAAGCGGCCGCCCGCGCAGGGCCCGCGGGAACCCCTGGGAGGGCTCCCCTTCCCTTGAGCCGCAGCACCCCGTTTCCCTGGAGCGTCTAGCTCTCTCTGAGGTCGACGGCTCTGTCGCGTCTCCCCGCGCGGGGACGTGTGGTTCACGGGTCCCCGTGCCAGGGGTCCGCGCCCCCCCCCCCCGCCCTCCCCGGGCGCGGAGTGGGCTGATAGGGCTGGCGACCGCAGGCTTTGAGCGGGACACGGGAGGGCCAGGCTCCGCGGCCCGGAACGCGCGGGAAGGGCCCCGGGCTCGGGCGGAACGCCAGGGGAAGGCCGCTTCCGGCGCCCCGCCGAGGCCTCCGCCCCGCCACTTCCGGCGTCTCCGTTAGGAACCGGGTGGGCACGGGGCAGGGGCGAGGGTGCTGTCCAACTCCGGGTCGGCGCGGGAGGGTCTCGGACCCGAGCCCGGGAGGGACGTCGGGGCGGGACGACCCTGAGCCGCGCGGGGCGCAGCCATGGAGCAGGACGAGCCGGGCGAGGCGATGAGGGAGCTGCGCGAGCGGCGGCTGGGCGTGCTGGAGCTGCTGCAGGCGGCGGTGGGCTCGGGCCTGGCCGTCTACGCCGCGTGGGCGCTGCTGCTGCAGCCCGGCTTCCGCCGTGTGCCGCTGCGGCTACAGGTGCGGGGCCCGGGGGCTGCCCCTCGGGGCCGGCGGCGCGTGGGGGCAGGCTGCAGGTGGGGCAGGGCGCCCGCGCCCAGACAGGAGGCTCCGGAGGCCGGCTCCCGGTCCTCCCTCCCCGCCCCGCCGTGACTCGGGCTTGGGGACCCAGCCTCGCCTGCCTCCTCGCCTCTAGGTGCCCTATGTCGGTGCGAGTGAGCGGCAGGTGGACCACGTGCTGTCGCTGCTGCGAGGTCGGCCGGGAAAGATGGTGGACCTAGGCTCTGGCGATGGCAGGATCGTAAGTGCGTGTGTACGTGGGTGGGGGGGCTCTCGCCAGCGCACCTCCTTCTGGTCTCCACAGTCTCCTGTGCCCACAGGTGCTGGCCGCCCACAGGTGCGGTCTCCGCCCGGCTGTGGGCTACGAGCTGAACCCGTGGCTAGTGGGGCTGGCTCGGCTGCATGCCTGGAGGGCAGGCTGTGCCGGCAGCGTCTGCTACCGCCGTGAGGACCTCTGGAAGGTAACCCAGGGAGTCCAGGAGCCCCTCAGACCCTGCACCTGACCTCCACACTTCCAGTGCTGGTTGGCCACTGTGCTGACAACCCCAGCTTCTCCTGCCACCTGCGTGGGCTGGGGCCAGGACTTGGAAGCCACAGTGCCCACATGCCCACCAGACTTCCTTGGCCGGGGCTCTACTCCCTGCCGGGGTGACCTCTTTTTGCAGGTGAACCTGAGGGACTGCCACAACGTGTCAGTGTTCCTGGCCCCTAGCGTGGTAGGTCTGGGGTCTGCTAGCTACAGGGGAGGCCCAGGCCATCCTTCGTGTGTGTGCTGGGCCTGGAGGAGGATGGGCAGGGCAGCCGTGTTCCATTGTGCGTACCCTACCCTCCTGCTCTCTCCCACAGCTCCCACTGCTGGAAGACAAGCTGCAGGCAGAGCTGCCCGAAGGGGCCCGAGTGGTGTCGGGGCGCTACCCGCTCCCCACGTGGCAGCCTGTGGCTGTGATGGGTGAGGGTGTGGACCGCGTCTGGGCCTATGATGTCCGTAGTGGTGGGTCGGCCGGTCAGGCCTCCCCAGGACCCAGTTCTGCCTCAGTCCCTGGGGCCCCCAATTCTCAGGCCGGCTGACCATTTGGACAAAATAAAGACTCGGTGGACTGTGTCCTGACTCTTGTTGCGTGGCGGGCTAGGTGGATGACTGCCCCCGCTCCAAGGGGGTGCTGTGAGGGGGGCTCCATGCTGGCTGTGAAGAGTTCTGCTCTGAGTGTGACAGCTGGCTAGTGGCTTTGGGTCTTTGGGTGCTGGGGCTTGATTGGAGGTGTGGCCCCCACTTTCCAGGCGTTCTCTGTACCCATGAGCTTCCTCAGCCTCAGGATCTCCTGTCTGTACCTGCTCGGAGGGGTCAGGATTAGTCACCTGCCTGGCTGTGCACAAACCCAGCTCTGTTACCTGGGACTGAGGCCCACCTGCCGAGGTGCTGGTCCACATACTCCCGTAGCTCAGAAAGTTGCTCCTCAGCCATCGTGGCCCGTACTAGTAGCAGTGCCCGCTCGCGTTCCAGCTCCGCCTGCCATAGGGAGGGCATAAGCTATGAGGCTGGACAAAGTGTGAGAAGGGGCCCCCAGCCAGACCTTGCCTATTACCTGGGTGCCACGGGAGAAGTCTTGGAGCTTCTGGTGGATCTGGGCCCAGGATGCAGCTTCCTGGCCCCTGTGAGAGAGAGGGAGGGGCAGGTATGAGGGCCAGCATTAGGCCAGGTGTTGATCAATCACCTTGCTCAAGTTGGGGCACCTAGATGCCTGACTTGCCTGCTGGGAGCAAAGTCAGGACAGCATGGGCCCACCTGTCCACTCTGGGCCCTGCTTGGGCCTTTGAGCCATCGGTAGGTACATGGGGGCAGGGCAGCCCAGGTCCAGAGGGCCTACTGGCCACTCACGGAGGGCTAAGCCACGAGACCAAACAGTGACCCCAGTGCTGTATGGATGTTGATGGGGGGGTCTCCCCCCATTCTAGGGGTTTATTTCTCAAAACTCTGGGAGTTGAGCTGATACCAGCCCCTGCCCATTGCACAGTTTGGAACATGGAGGCCCAGAGGCAAGGGCTGTGAAAGCCACCAGGCAGCCTGCTTCTGTCCTGTCCTGGGGCCAGGGCTTCTGCTGGCCATCCACCACACCTCTTCATCCTTAGGTCCCCTGGGTCTCACTGAAATGTGCCTTTCTCAGGGGATCTCCCTGACCCTCCCATTCAAGGTCAGCCCCTCTCCTGTCAGGGCCCCACTTCACCCAGGTGCTTGGCTTTCTGTGATTATTGATGTCTCCCATACAGACTGAAACCCAAGGGCACAGATGGGCCACCTTGTTCACCACTGCAACCAAAGCCCCACCCAGGGCTTAAGAATTGGAGGAAAAAATGAATGATCCCCCTGCAGGTCCTCCCGTCACCCACCCCAGGGTACTCACTGCGGCTCTGACGTGCCCCCCTGGGAGGCTTCATTGGGCCCCTTCTGTAGGAACAAGAGCAGCATCATGAGCCTGGTGGGCTGTGGTAGGGATTCTCTGTTGGCTGAATGAAGCAGGCTGCTCAGGGATGGGGTCTTTGCTGAGCCTGGGATGGGCCTGGGGTGTGTTCTGGGGTGCTGTGCTCCAAGGCCAGTGTAGGGCAGCAGGGAGAGCTCACCTGGGCCTGGAGCTTTTGGAGCTTTGTCTCCAGCCTGGCCTGGGCTGCTCCCGGGTGGCCAAGTTCGGAGACCAGGTGCAGAGACAGTGGCTCCAGGTGTGAGGTGGCTGCATCAAAAGTAGCTTTGGGGGTCCTGGGTGCCCCAGTGGAGTCGGCCAGCACCTGCTGCACACTAAGCCATGTGCCACGTCACATAGGGCCACCCCACCCCAGGTGCCCGTCTCAGGGAGGGGCCCACCTGCAGGCGGCCAGCAGCTCCTCGTGTCTACGGCTCACATCTGCCAGGCGCTTGCGGTAGGCACGAGCAGCCCGGGCCAACTGCTGCTCACGGCGGCGGTGCGCTGCCCGCATGTCCTCCAGAGTAGTCTCCAGGAATGTGCGGAGGGCTGACGCGGCCGGCTCCCGGCCCGTGCCTTTCGCATACTCCTGGAGATGATGGGGCGGGGCTGGGGCCAGGGCCAAGGGGGCGGGGCTTGCCGGGCGCACACTGCTTCCCACAATCCCCTCTGCGGAGCGGAGGGAGCCGAGCCGCAGGCGGGCCCACCCAGGCTGGGCTTGGACTCCCCAGGACGCGAGGCCTCCCTCTCACCACAGGGCCACCCCACCCGGTGCTCACGGCCACGGCTCGGGCACAGCGCTGCAGCTGGACGGCATACTCTTCGTTCAGTTTCTTGAGCTGCAACTGCAGCTGGGCGTTCTCTGCCTCAGCCTGGCGCAGCTGGCCTTGGCAGGCAGACAACACCTGGGGGTGGAGGCAGCCTTGAACCCACACTCCACGGGGTGGACCTTTGCAGACTGTAGGACACCACCTACTAGATCTCAAAGTGGGTAAGGCTGGGCCTCACCATGGCTTGTGCAGCTAGTTGCTGCCCAGCTGTCCTGGCCTCCTGTTGGGCTCCCTGCAGCCGCATGCCCAGGTCTGCCCTGCGGACAAGCATGTGAAGCTCAGCTGGGCCCAGGGTGGGGACTCCCTCTGCTCTTGGGAAAAGCCACTCTGAGCCTGGTGCGGTCTGGATCCCCTCCATCCCAAGTGAGGCAGCTACTCACACACGGGTCTCCAGTGCCTGCTTCTGGGCCTTGTGCTGCTCCAGCACCCGCTTCCATTCTCCCTGCAGCTGCGGGGTACACAAGATCTGGGTTCCTGGCACTGCCCAACACCACCCTGGGCTGGGAGAAATCTGGACAGATCCCCAGGCTAGGTGGCTGCACACTCACGCTGTTCCCCAGCCGCTGTTCATCCCTAGGGGTCAGGAAGTCCTCAGGCTGTGCCTGTATGAGAGAGTCGGTCCCAACCTCACTGTGCCTCTACTGCACCCCTGTTGGGCTCCCACCCAGCCAGGCCCTCCATACACTCATGGTGACCTGAGGTCTGTGGTGGATGGAGCGTCCCTGCTCCCAGGCCTTGTGCTGGAGCCCCTGGGCCAGCTCCTGGTGGTGCCCCAGGCCAGCCTCTAGGGGGGCTGTGCAATCTCCATGCAGTTCCAGCTCTAGCACCCGGCTCTCCAGCCGTAGGACCTGCAGGATGACTAGGGTGAGCAGGTGCACCCGCCTGCCAGGCCACCCAGTGTAGGTCGACATCATCTGGGTACATACAAGGACACACAACACACACAGGAGATGTGGGAACTCACAGACACTGCATGAGTGTGTACAATCACATGGGTGTACCTAGACCCCTCACAGCACTGGTCCTAGGTATGTATCCCCCCCATGTGCTCGGGCTGGCACATGTGGGCACATACCAGCACCCACCTCACTCTTCAGCTCGAAGAGTTCAGCCTCATGCTGCTCCCGCAGGTGATGTGTTGTGATCTGTAGATCGACCAACTCCTTGGAGATCTGTGGGTGGACAGAGTAAGAGGTGGTGCCTGTGGGATCCTCCCTATTGCTAGCTAGCACCCTAGGGCCCCCACACCCACCTGCAGTCGGTGCTCCTCACTCAGCTGTAGATCTGAGAGAAGCTCTGTCTTGAGGTTGGTTGTCCAGTCCTCCGCGTGTGGCAGAACCTGGGGAGGCATCACCCTCCCACCCCCCAGTTGCGTCTCAGGCTTGGGCGGTGGACTCCACTCCCAAGGAGCCACCAGCCATGCACTTCCCCCTCCCCAATACCCCCTCCACACACAGCCTGCCTGAGCTAGGGCAGTTTCTCCTGGACTCAGGGTATAGGGAGGACCCCCGACCCCCTGGCAGAAGCAGAAGTGTCCTGGAGGGACTCACGTTCTCACTGGCCCCAGGTGGGGGCGCTGGCCTGGGGCCTGTGGCTGCCGCATGCTCCATAGACCGAAGGGACTCTGGCCTTCCCAGATGCAGTGTCTCCTTACCTACTGGCCTGTTGCTGCAACACTGTGGCTTGTGTTGCCAAGGCCTCTGTTGGTCCCCTGCTGATCCCCGGAGCTCTGGAGGCCCCACCCACGAGGGCATTGCTGGGGGTGGGGAACTCCCTCAGCTCTTTCCCTATATGGCTCCCCATCCTTTCTGGTTTCCGGCGCCGCAGCATTTATCCTGGGCACTGATGGAACCAGGAGTTCATGAGAAGGCCCAGCACAGAATGGAGCGACCGCTGCTGTCACTGCTGTCCTCGCACAGGGTGCCTGCCCTGCCATGGGGGTTCACAAAGTAGGCGCCTTCTGCGTGCCTGTTTCTGGTTGGGCGCTGGGATGGGCAGGTGAACGAACGGTAAGGTTCCCCCGCCTCCAGCCCGAGGGAAGGGGGCGCAGGCGTTCCAGTCAAGGCGCTGGGGGACTCAGGACTGGATCAGCCCCGGCGCCAGGAGGGCTTCGCGGAAGCGGCGCCGGAGGGCCGGGAGCAGCGGTCCCGGACGTGCGTGCGGGCCCCATCGGGAACGCGCGCGCCCCAGGCCGCGCACGCTTGCTCCCTGCGCCGGGGCACAGGTCGTTGGCGGTAGCCAGGCCGAGCGCCGTGCTCCGTTCAAGTCCCGTGGCCAGCGTCTGAGGCCCGTGTCTGTCCGGCCGTCTTTCAGACGGTCCGCGCTGGCGTAGCCCCTGCGGGTAAGGAAACGGTTCGGGGCCGGAGTCGCGCCCCGGCGGCAGGGGGACCTGGAGGGCGGGGCGGGCCTGGAGAGGGGCGTGGCCTAGGCGCGACGCGCAGAGTGAAACAGGAGGGCGTGGTTCACGGGGAAGGCGGGGCCCGCGGCGCGGGATGGGCGGGGCCCGGGCAGCTGCGTCGTCGCGAGGGGCGGGGCTTGCGCGGCGGGCGGCGGGCGGCGACGGCGTCGCTGTCGCCGGGGGCTGGCGTCCGCGCTGGCCGTCCGGGCTTGAGCCTGGGGCGTGGGCTTCAGCAACGCTCCTCCGGGACGTCCGTGGAGCAGCGAGCTGGCTCCCTTTCTGGCCCTCAATGTGTGTGTGGAGCTGACCCCTCCCTCGCACAGCCCTGCTTTGGCCTGGAGAGGGAAGCCCCCGCCCTGAGGAAGGGGTTCGAAAGCCTGGGGGCCTCTCGAGAAGACGCGGGGTGCCCGAGCTCTGCGACCATGAAGGTCAAGGTCATCCCTGTGCTCGAGGATAACTACATGTACCTGGTCATCGAGGAGCGCACGCGGGAGGCTGTGGCCGTGGACGTGGCCGTGCCCAAGAGGGTGAGGGCAACCTGTGGGCGGTTCCGCGATTATTTTGGGTCTGCCCTGAAGTTAGGACCACCTCTGACCTCCGTTCCCCCTCCCTGGTGCCTGTTGTCATACGCCCTGGGCGCTCACTTACTGTCTGCGGTGTCTCCCTTACCCCCACGCCTCCTGGCCCGCCTGGGACTCTGTACATCACACCTGGCACCCTAGCCGGGGGCGGGGGGTGGGGGCGGCCAGCTGGCCCTACCAAATCTCCCTAACTCCGTCCCTTTCAGCTGCTGGAGATCGTGGGCCGGGAGGGGGTATCACTGACAACCGTGCTGACCACCCACCACCACTGGTGAGCGCGGTCGGGGCGGGCCGAGGCGCGAGGGCATCGCCCCTGCCCCACCCCGAGCCCGGCGTGATCCTGCTCCCGCCCGTCCGCAGGGACCACGCGCGGGGCAACGTGGAGCTGGCGCGGCTGCGGCCGGGGCTGGCGGTGCTGGGCGCGGACGAGCGCATCTGCGCGCTGACCCGCAGGCTGGTGCACGGCGAGGAGCTGCGGGTGAGCGCGCGCCCGGGAGGGCGGGGAATCGCCTTGGGCCCTCCCGCCTCACCAGCCGCCCGCCCCTCTGCCGCAGTTTGGGGCCATCCACGTGCGCTGCCTCCTGACGCCGGGCCACACCTCCGGCCACATGAGCTACTTCCTGTGGGAAGAGGAGTGTCCGGATCCGCCCGCGGTGTTCTCCGGTACTGGCTGCCCCGCCCCACCAGCTCCGCCTCCCTCTGACCCTGCCCCACCTTCTCTGACCTGCTGTCCTCCCCAGGGGATGCGCTGTCGGTGGCTGGCTGTGGCTTGCGCCTGGAGAGCACAGCTCAGCAGATGTACGAGAGCCTGACAGAGACCTTGGGCAGCCTGCCTCCGGAGACGGTGAGCGGCCATCCCTTCCCCTCCCGCAGGGTCCAGCCTCCCTGTACAACCTGCAGGCTCTGTCCGTGACTTGTGCCACAGGGGTGCAGAATGAACACTCATCAGCCGAGGAGCCAAGGCAGACCAGGCATGGGGTGCTGGGGTCCAGGGAGGGGCCAGGCCAGCCCGGGGGAGCGCCTCCCCATCTCTGCCTGTGGCAGCACTGTGCACCCCCTGAGTGCCTCCTTTCTCCAGAAGGTGTTCTGTGGTCATGAGCACACGCTGGGCAATCTTGAGTTTGCACAGAAAGTGGAGCCCGGCAATGACCATGTGAGAGCCAAGCTGTCATGGGCTAAGGTGCGGCCACCCCTCCCTTTCTCCCCCTAGAGGCTTGGAGGGTGGATGAAAGTTGGGGCAGAGGAGGGGCACTGCAGGGGGCGTCAGACTTGACCAGACCTGGCTTAGCCTGGGCTCCACCACTGACTAAGGCTCCTACTGGGGAGGGGAGGAGTGGGTGGCTTTGGATAGGGGCCTGGGCAGCTGGTAGGACTGGCCCAGGGGTGGCTGCCCTCAAGGGCCAGATGGGGCGAGGCAGCCCTTCTTCTGCTCCCGCCCCCAGGAAGGGGTGAGTAGAAGGAGCGGAGCCAAGTTGCCTGGGGCTCTCAAGACAAGGCTGTGACAAGGGCCTGTGGTCATTCCAGAAGAGGGACGAGGATGACATGCCCACAGTACCATCCACCCTGAGTGAGGAGCTTCTCTACAACCCTTTCCTAAGGGTGGCGTGAGTACTGATCGGCGTCCCAGGCCTTATGGGGGCCCCGTGCCCACCCCAGGGGCTGCGCCCCAGAGCAGGATGCCTCGTAGCTGGCCTGCTGTCCTTTGGTCCTCCTTGGCATCATTTGGGCACTGCAGGAGGTGCCAGGGGACTGGTTATTGGGCTGACTGGCACCAGGGAGCAGCTGCTCTTTAAGTGTCCTCTGCCAACACCCCCTGGCAGTTCCCCAACAGACTCCCCACGGTGTCCCCTTTCCCCACAGAGAAGAGCCTGTGCGCAAGTTCACGGGGAAGGCAGCCCCAGCTGAGGTCCTGGAGGCACTTTGCAAGGAGCGGGCGAGCTTCCAGCGGGCGGCTGAGCCGGTGCAGCCGCAGGCTCGGGCTCTCCTGGCACTGCAGTGGGGGCTCCTGGGCACACCTCGACAGAAATGAGCCCCAAGTAGACCGCTGTGGGGGCAGGCAGCACATCTCTCCTTCAAACCTCGGCCGACTGAGCCCACAGGATTGCCTCTGGAACCTTCCATGGCCCTGCCCAGCTGGCTGTCCAGCCTTGGTGGGGGGGGTGCCCTGGCCCTGGACATGTGAGGCCCCTGTCTGGGGTGCATGTGAGCCCTGAGGTCTGGACGTTTCAGAAGCAGCGTGCTGGAGTGCACAGGGCTTCCGAACTTTGAATAAAGCTGTGAAAGGTTCTTGACGCTTGTAGATGCTCTTAGACTTGGAGCCATTTTCAGAGAGATCCTTTTATTAGGTTTGGAGCTCTGTCACAACAGGCCTGGTGGGCTCACCCCGATCTGCCTCTCCCCCACCCCCATAACCCAGCTGTGGAGATGGACTTAGTGCCTGATCTCACAGGGTCTTTCTAACAGAGCCTGCTTCTCGCCTGGAACTCTGCCCAGAAATGCATGTTGTCAGGTCCCAGAGGCCACAACGTCCTCAATGCCCAGTTCCAGGTGGGGCAGGTACGCCATCTCCAGCATGGAGCTCAGTGGGCTGGGTGCCCCTCTCTGGCCAGCGTTCTCTCTGTCTAGGGCAGGTGGGTTGCCCCCAGCCTGGCACACCCAGCTTCAGGGGTGACTCCAGGAATGGGGATGAGGAGTCCCACTTTTGCTCTGCCTTAAGCTGCCCACGGGACTGGGCTTCACCTGGGTCTCCAGGCAGGAGCAGCGAGGACACTGCTCGCAGACCTGGCCCCATGGGGAGGTTCTGGGACCTTGTGGGACCTCTGGCCCCCTGCCCTGGGGAGTCTGGGTGAGGGCAGGCTGGAGGTCACCTTGCCTGACTGTGGGTCCCGAGTCCTGTTTCTCTGTGGGTTAGTGCAGTCAGTGTTTTGGGGGCGATCCCTGGGGTCTCAGGACATGAGCTTCATGGGCGTCCCAGTACGGGCTGTGCTGGGCCCGGCAGCCCTGTGAGGAGGCCTCCTACCACCTGATGCTGAGGCCGGAGCTGGCCTTCTCCACTGTGTGGTAGCTCGTGTGCAGCAGGTGGCCAGCCCGCTCTGAGCCCTCGCCCTGCAGCCAGCACCTGTACAGTTCCTGGACGCCAGGCACCTCCTCCGGCGCCTCGGTCCTGACCATGCCGTACAGCATCTCCACGTGCTGGAGAAGCGCCTTGCTGGGCGTGCTGGGGGCCTTGAGCTGGCCTCCGCCGTTCAGACAGCCTGTGAGCAGGGCAGGCAAGAGCATAGTCATGACGGGGATGCCTGCAGGGGGATACGGCACAGCCCCCCCCCCCACTGGCTCTCCTGACCTCCTGACCACCCAGGTCGGGGTGAGGACAGATGCTCCACTTCCAGCCCCCCTGCCCGGGTGGGACCCTGCCTGCAACCCTCGTGCTAGAAAGGGCCCCCGTGCCACAGCTACCTGAGGGGCAGGCCATGACCTCCACGTAATGGTACGGGCAGCGCCCTCGCTTGAGTTTCTGCACCAGGTTCTGGATGTTGCGGAAGCCGTAGGCTGCGGCAAAGTGCAGCAGGACGCGGCCCTCCTTCTCCAGGGTCACCTCCTGGAAGTCTTTGTTCCTGAGGGGGGCACAGGCCAGGCTCCCTCCTGCTTCCCACCCCTGCAGGCACATGGGCCACCCTGACTGGCTCCTCTACAGGGGATGGTGAAGGAAGGGGAGGGCAGAAAGCTCACTTCCACTCAGTGTCCCGCTCTTTAGAATGGGAACCGCCTCCCTCCCGAGGATGGCCACGAGGCGTGGTGAGGTCAGACAGCCCCCAGCCCCCCGTCTGGGGAAGGGGGCATTATGTCGGAATGGACCCTGCCACCATGGCCTCTGGGGGCTCTCGACCACTATGATGGGGAGGCAGAGCTCTGGAGAGCTCCGGCCGGAGAGGAGGGCTCAGCTCCTACCTGGTGCCCTGCGTCTTCGCCAAACCCAGCCTGCTGTCCTCCAAGCCCACCTCAGTGAGGGGACCCAGGGCAAAGGCTGCCCGAGCTGGGCTGCCCTGTCCCCTGTCCCCAAGTTCCAGCCCTTCTCACTGACCTCAGGGGTCTGTAGGTGACCTCATCCACATGGATTCCAAAGAGCTCCCGGGCTGCATGCTGGAACACGTGCTCCAGGTAGCCCCCAGAACCCCCGCCCCGATGGCTGGTGGGCTCTTGGGCAGATGCGCTGCTGCACCTGGGGAGCAGGGCATGGCCTCAGGTGGTAGCAGGGCTGCTGTCTACAGAGATGTTGGGTAACTTCTGTCTCTTCACGTTTGAGGGAGTTGCTTTTCTAAATGGAAAAGGAGCCCAAAACCTGGGGGCTTTGTCTGTGTGTCAGGAGATAGCTCAGGTTGGAGAAAGACTGTCCCTCTGTTGAGTAACCTGTTTTGGGGAGTGCAGACCTGTGTCGAATTGGGGTCAGCTCTGATGACCATCAGTTAGCTGTCCACTGGCCATCTCATGAACTTGACCACCTCTGTGGACACCGAGACAGGCCACAGGGCAAACATGGGACCAACTAGAAGGAAGCCATGGTGGGGAAGAGAAAGCGAGGGGACGCTGCCTACCCCCACGTGCTCACTTCTGCTTGTTGAGACACCTGCAGCCCCCGAACCCACAGCAGGAGACCCTGACACCAGGCTCCACCACACTAGGAGGTGACTCACAGACTGTCCAGGGGGGCTGGCTCCAGTTGCGAGAGGGAGACCCCTTCTTCCTCCAGCAACTTGAAGACTTCCCCTACAAGAAGACCCCAGCACAGATGCTCTTCAGCTGAGATCTCGATAAAAACAACATCGAGGAAACCCACATCATATGTGTCCCTGGCAGATGGACACCCAAACGTCCACCTCCTGGCTTGCGAGTGGAGGATGAACCCAGGCACAGAGGCCAGGAAGGCCCACTTCTGAAGCCCCTTAGAAGAGCCAGCCTGCTCCCCAGACCCGCAGCCCACCCTCAGAGCAACATGGCAGGGGGTGGGCATGCCCATCCCTAGGGTACGCCTGCAGCGGGGTGGTCACAGCTTCCCACAAGGTGGACAGGGGCACGTGTTCGCGCAGGGAGGCCTTCCCCCCACTGTCAGGGGTCCTGAGTGTTTACTTTTCCGGATTTTAAGTACTTGGGAGACTCGTAAGGCTGCTCAACTCAGAAATGGGGTGACCTATGTGAGTCAGAGCGGCTGACAAGAATCTCCGCCCACTTCCCCATGCAGACTATTTTAGAGCAAATGCCCAGGTAGTGCCGGAGGGTGCCTCATGCACAGGGGATGGCAGCTCCAGCCAGAGCCGATGGGCAGGACCCAGGCAATGCCATTCATGCCCTGGGCTCAGGATGACGGGACCCAACCTGTGGTGACAACGCAATCCACGTCACGAGTCTGGTGCTCCTGGCTGAAGAAGTCTGGTCTGGAAGCTTCTAGCTTTTTGTCATAGCAGGGCATCACTGTCACATGGTAGATCCTGTCGGGGGTCAAATGCTGCCGAGAAATGTGGAAATGTGGAGTCGCTGCCTGACCCAACAGTACAGGGGCCCATGGGGTAAGGCGGGGGTGGCAGAGCCGGCCAGCGGCCAGGATGAAACCGAGATTCTTTGTATGGGTCTGTGGACACTGTAACTCTTGGCTTATCTTTCAGGATGACAGTGAATCATTCACAGCTGGAACATGCCTGTTACCTGCTGCTGGGCAAAGAAGTCCTTGACCAGGGAGCCCATGACCTGCTGTGGGGACCGGGCAGTGCTGAGGTAAGGGATGAGGAAGCTCCCGTGCGTCTTCTCAGCATAGCAGATCCAGCCTGAGGCCGACAGAACAAACGGAGCATCTCACCAGCTAGGCAGTGAGTGCCAGGACATTGTGGGGCAGACTGACTCGTACAAGGAGTTACGGTCCCATTACAGAACGTCCCTGCTCTGCTGTCACTGTTTTGTGCTGCTAGCATCCGTGAGATCACGGTCTTGGGGAGCTAAGTAACTCTCGAGGCCATCCTGACAGAAGCCTGCACTCCCCCTGCCCCAGCATTCCCGTTCCCCGCATCCAGCAGCATGGACACACCTGGGCAGGCGGATGTGAGCACAGGCAAGGCCTGTGTGGAGTTGGCCTGTCTTCGGAACCGCTGCACAAATTCTCTCTGGCTCTCAAGGAGACTGAAGTTCCTTGAGAAGGCGGTATCGAACACGTAGTGCACCCCTGGAAAGCAAGCACCCACCTCACCCACATGAAGGGTGGCTGAATGGTGAGGCATGGCCGACCATGCCCCAGGGAGCTGATCCCACCATGACTTGTCCAGGACCAGGCCATGCCCCTGGTGGCACCAAGCCCACAACCTCCCAGCCCAGCTCGTGGCTCACAGAGGTTGACCAAAGTCGATCTGAGCAGGAACCTGCCAGGGACCTGGGAAATGGGCCTCGATGGTGATCATTTAAAAACAACACGAGGAGCAGGCGAATTCCAGACCGGGAGAGCAGAAAGAGGATTCACAAGGCTCCCTCTTAAAAGGCACAGCTCTCCTGTGTCAAACCAAAACTTTGGGCTAAGGTCAACTCAGAACGGTTCTGGTGTGTTTGAGTTCAGTGACTCGGAGGCGCCCCCTCGCGGGACCCCCCCCCATATGCTGAGCTACAGTGTTCACATGATGTTTGGTGCCTACCGAGTTTCTTAAAGAATGCAGTCAGCTTCTTGGCAGTGTCTGTAGGGGTCAGCTGAAATCTTGCGGCCAGCGACGCTCTGGATTGGGGTGAGACAGAAACCACAACCATTCTCTGCTGACCGGGGGCTGCCGTCTGCAAAGCAAGGGACACGTGCTCAGAGTGTTTCACACTAATCCGCAGAGGTCCAGTGCTGGTGAGTGCATGCCCTTCCTCCAGGGCCATGTCGTTTCTATGTACATGTAGGGCCCAACACTTCAATGTTGAAGTATGACAAGTACTTCACTGACATCCCACTGTCGCCCCTTTAAAAATGTGGGAGTGACCTGGAGATCAGCAGCCCTTGACAGCAAGAGCAAAGGATACCGGGATTGATGTCAGGTTAAAAAAGTCTCCAAGACTGCCCACCACTTACCTTATTGGCATCTAGAACTTTCCGCAGCTCCTCGTGGCTTTGCTGAGTGATGAGCACAGTCTCCGCTGAGGTAACACAGCCACTGCATGCCAGGCAGTCATCCAGCGAGATCTTGGCCTTCTCCAGCTTCTGAGTCCCTCCATCCTGGAAGCACAGGCACTCAGTATTCAACAGGGCCCTCTGCACAAGGACACGAGCTCTTGGGATAATGGAACCTACAGGAAACCTTTATTCTCTGGTTTGCAACACCAACAACCAACATGGTAGTTGGCTGACTTTGAATGCCACCAATTTTCTAAAAATTAAATATTTGTCACAGAGATATGTACATTCTATACATATTCTAGCTCCATCAAATTCTAACTTTGGCACAAGCTCACTTGGCACATCAGAATCGTATTAATAAGGCCTGTAGCCTGTCAGGGGTGGAATGTGGGCGTGAAATCTGCAGAGGAGCGGGTGACTTGCCAGAGGTTCCTAGTCTGCACTCATGGGGCTGTGAAGATAGGAAAATGTCAAAGGCCAGGCTCCAACAGGAGGATGAGAAAGGTAAGGCTAAGGTGAAGGGGCAGAGGGCAGAGCGAGGCAGCACTCTGCCCAGTGAGCACCAGCCCCAGACGGGGACAGACACACAGGCAGCAAAAGCCAGAGGGCGAACAGTTGCAGAACTTTGTGTTGGACGTGGGCCTCCAGGCTGATATTCTGCAACTGTCCCTAGATGCAAGTGATCCCAGCTGAGCCCCTTTACTCCCTCTGTAAACGCAGGAAGCGTCGAGCCAGGGTGAGCTGCAGAGCCCAGAATATGACCAGAGGGCTGAGGAGACGGGGACTCCCTTCCAGCCCAGCTCATCAGGGTGGCACTTCACACCAAAGCCACAATTTGAGCTCAGTGCGTATTTTTAGAGTTAGATGGGCCTAAAGGCCCAGGCTTTGATTTTGTGTCAAGAGACCAATAAGCTTCCCAACTTCCCTCCAAATCAACCATGCTGCTTGGGATGGCAGGGCCCATTGGTGCCCTCACCTCACCTTCCCTTGTGGGATGCCCCCAACCCTGAGGTGGCGTTTCCCTGTGCTGTGCAGGGCTTGGGCAGGACCTGTGGTGTGCTGCAGGGTCACACTCCTGGCCTGAGCAAACGGCTGGCTCTCTCCCTGGGAATGCTTGAACCCCCGGTCCAGCCCTACCATGTGCTACCCTGAGGCTTCTCCCCTGCTTGGGAGGAGTTCCTGGACCAGGTGTGCCCGTGTCTGTGGTCATGGGATGGCACAGACGTTCTTGAGGGTCCAAATAGCAGACAGTCCTTAGACCAGGATCTTGTTATTACATAATTACTCAAGAAGCAGGTGTTCAAGAACAAGCTGTCAGAACTGGAAAATCCCACACAATTAGAACTCATGGAGAGAGAGGGCCTCTGTGCCCCTCCACCCCTACCCCAGTCCCATCCCTGCCCTCCTGGCCTTGGTGACAGTGAATTTGACCACTGTGAAAGGTCTCACGATCACTGTACTCATGACTGGAAAGAGCAGCAAAAACATGTTTTTGGTCATCTGGGATGGAACTTACCTGACTGACCTGGAAGTAACTCCCATCATCTTCGATGTGGATCTTGGCCACACCACTTCCTGGCCTCTTATCCACCTTCATGGGCTTGATGCAGTCCTATACCAGGAAGAGACCCCAAATGGGGGCCTGAGTGCATGGAGGTTCCCCAAGAAGAGAGGCAACCTGACGGTCACGCCACCACGCCCGACTCCTCTCCTCCGGCCACAGAAGCAGTCTCAGCAGGATGGCTGCTGACCCTGTGTGCACACAGGGCACACATTCTAACACCCCACCGGCACCAACGGTTACTCTGCAGCTCATAGTCAGATGAAGGCCGGCGTTACCGGGCCACAGGCTAACCCCCTGCACGCCTGCCGGCTCTGACCTTTATTCTTGTTCTCAGCACATGGACTGGCCGCTAAGAGGACACCCAGGAACCACCATTTCTGCACCTCTGAAGGAATGCTTTGCTTGGAGGTCACCGCCCTGCCCGGTGCCCAGTGAAAGGAGTTCATTTTTCTTCCCAACTCCCCGAGTTCTTGGGGTCTCACTGTCACTACGAGAACCTCTTTGGCCGTTTCCTTTCCAGGGATGATCCGGCCCAGAGAGCCCTGTCCACGGTGCTGTGACCAGCCCCACCCTTCCCCTCCTCCCGGCACTCCTTAGCTATGGCCCTCCCAGCCCTGGTCCTGCGCAGCTGGTGCGCTTGATAGGCAGGTACACCAGATAAGGACGACGCCCACTTTCAAGTGTGGCTGTCCTGCCTCCCTTAGGGGCAAGCTCTGTCAACGACGACCGCACACCCTGACGTGTACTGGGTAGTCAAGGCAGGTGACTCCAGCGGTGGAGTTGGTCCCAGCTGTCTACCAGAGGAAGCGAACAGGGTCGTCCCGGCCCCGAGCCCGCCGCTGCCCAGCGGGGTGACTCTGGCGGCCCTGCCGGGCTCCCCCCGGCTTCCCGGGACCCACAGTGACAGGGCACTCGACACGCCCCTCACCCGCTCGCCCCGACCCCACACCCGCGGACTTGGCCTCCCTTCGCTCCTCGATGCCTTGAGGAGCAGTAACCCGGCTCGGGGCATCGCCATCCCTGGCCTCGGTTTCCCATCGGCAGGAAGCCGGCCGGAGCGCCGGAGGCCCGGGGGGCGCGGGCGGGGGTCCCTGGGTTCCGATCCCGTTTCTCAGGGGAAGAAACTGAAGGGGCAGGGGGGCCCCGCCCCAGACACGGCCGCTGCCCACGCGGGCCGGCCCACCTGAGACGGCCCGATGAAGTCATCCAGGTCTGTCAGCTGCAGCGCCCCACTGAAGGGCGACGCCATGGCTGCCGTACTGCCGCCAGGCTCGGGGCTCAGAAGTCGCCAAACGGCGCGAAACTGCAGGCTCTTTCCGCCACGCTGCCGGAAAGTGCCCCGCGCAGCGCATGCGCATTTGCCACGCCCGCCGGGCGCCTGGAGGGCGCGAGCCCCCTGCTGGCCCGCCCTGCCCCGCGGAAGAGTCTGTGGCCTTCCCCGCCTCCTGGGATGGGGCGGAGGGGCCAAGTAGACCAGAGTGACGTCTCCCTCCCCCCAGGGCTCACCTGCCCGCCAGGTGTGCGGCCCTGCAGTCCTTGACCTGGGAGCTAGCGGAGGCAGCGGCCTTGCTTTACTTGGTCCCGCAGGCGCTCAAGACCCCAGAAGGGCGCCTGGCACTCATGGGCACCCAATCTGTGTTGCAGAGTGAGGACAACGAGAGTGACAGGGACAGGTAGCGGCTCCTCACAATGCAGCGGCTCGGCACGGAGCCTTGGGGTTCCGAGAGGGCGCTCGCGGCGCTTCTGTCCCGGCCTCCGACGCCCTCTTCTGTTACTTTGGAGACCAGCTCCAGAAAACCATTTCCCTGTAAGATTTTCTAGTATGCGACAGGACTGCTGCTGGTCAGACTCAGTTCTTGAGCCACTGCAAACCGAGTCAAGCCCAGTTTTAAATTTAATGAGCACTTTTTATTGGGGCTTTCCGGAGAACTCCAGTAGCTGAGTCTGGCATGTCCTGCGAACTCCGCTGGGCTCAGCCCCAGAACATCGGGGGTAATGTCATGTTGCAGGGCCCAGACTGACCGGTGCTCCCACTCTTCTTGGAGTTCTTGCCCCAGTTTGGGCTTGTGTGGTGACTCCCACACCTGCCTGTGGGTTTTCCTGGACGTCCGGAAAGCCAAGGCCCAGCTGCTGGGGCAGCCTCTTGGTGTGTGTGTGGGGGGGGGGCGGGGGAAGTTGGGCTTCTTCTCTTGGCTGCCAGGACTGGACTTTCCTGTTCAGCAGCTGGGGCTGTGGAGGGGGGGCTTTCCCCCGCAGCTATACCAGGTGGACTTCCAGGCCCCACCCATCCCCTGTCTTGGCAACACCTGACCAAGGTCTGAGATATGATGCCTGAAATCTGAACAATCCCAAGAGATTTTTAGAAGAAATAACCTTAGGGAGTGATGGAGAGGATTTACATGGGAGGGGCTCTGGCTGAGGCTGGGAGTGCAGGGAACGTTCTCCCAACACTGGAATGGGGGAGTGCAGCATGTAGATGTCAGAGCCCAAGACTATGCAGGGCAGGCTTCAATCTCTCTGTCCCCTGGAACCCAAGTCTGTAGGCGCAAACCATGTGGGTGGGGTGGACAAAAGGTGGGAACAGCCCAACTGTCCATCAGCAGATGAGTGGAGAAACTAATTGTGGTCCGTCCCTGCCCATGGATTAGTACTCAACCGTAAAGCAGGATGAGCCACTGACCCCTGCTGCCACGTGGATGACCCCCAAGGACATGATGCTCGGTGAGAGGAGCCACACAGAAAGCCCATATTGCAGGATTCCATTTCCAGGACGTGTGCAGAATAGTCAACTCCGTAGAGACAGGAAGTAGCTTGGAGGTTGCCAGGGGCTGGGGAGGAGATTCCGGTGTGCGGTGATGAAAAGTGTTGGAGAGAGAGGTATGGTTGCACCACACTGTGAACACAACACCATGGACTTGTGTGCGTACGCAGGAGCACTGTGGCAAATTCTGTTGCATACATTTTACTACAATTTAAAAATAATGGAATGTATCAAAGACCGTTCAATTGCACACTTTAAGTGGGTGGATTGTATGATATGTGAGTCTATATGTCAATAAAATTGGCTGCCCCAAGGTAGCTCCAAGAGATCAGGACAGTGAGTGCACCCGGGTCCACCTGGTTTCGACCTCAGTCCCATCGTCCATGGGGAGTGCCTGGGTGACCAAAACAGTGTCTGGTTCAGAAAATCTGACTGGGGGGGGTCTCTGATGTCACGTGTGCACGCACACACGATGAGGGTCCCTGGAGACCCTGAGGCTCTTGAGCCAACACCATGCCTGCCTCCTCTGTGTACCTATTCTCACACCTGCAGATTGTTTCATCATCATCATTAGTGAGTATTTGCCATACACTTCCCATGTGCAATGCCAGGGTTTCCACACGTGGGGGAAACTGAGGGCCCTGCAGCCAGCCTGGGCAGCTGCCAGGATGCTGGGACTGGGTGTGGGCACCCCTCTCCCTGAGCTGGGACAGATGCAGAGCTTGGCCTCTGCTCTAGGGGTGCCCAAAGGACCCCCTTTGCCCAAAGCTGGCCAGCAGACCTTTGGGTGGGAACAGGCATGGTTCCCACCGAGGTGCATGGAGCTGCCGTCCCCTCCGGCAGGCGGACATCTGTCTCACCGTTGGAGGGACTGGCCCTGTGTTAGTGTCCAGCACTGCTGCCACAGGGGGTCACAACGGGGGGTTTACAACAAAAGTTTATCCTCTCAGTTCTTGAGGCCACAGGTCTGAGGCCAAGGTGTTGGCAGGCCCTTCCAAAGGATCCCTCCTGCCTGGTCCAGCTCCTGGTGGCCCCGGGGCAGACCCGGGCACGTGGCTCCGTCCATCCAGCCTCCGCGGCTCCGTCCCGGGGCCCCTGTGTGTCTCCTTCTCCTAAGGACACTTGCCATTGGATTCAGGGCCCAGCCTACTACCCAGCAGGATCTCATCTCAAAACCCTCAACTTAATTACATCTGCAAAGACCCTTTCTCCAAATAAGGTCACGGTCACAGGTTTGGGGGACATGTTATTTGGAGGGCACTGTTCAACCCACCATAGCCCTCATGTCCAAGTTTTTGTGGGACCCTCAGAGATCAGAGGACAGCTGCATAATGGGATGTGTCTCTCCAGGTCATAGCCCACCTCCCACATGGACTGCCCTGGCCCTGGGGGGCGGGGCTGGGATGGACCACACCTGCTAGGCTGTCTGCAAAGCCAGGCTTGGGCCCGCATGTGCCTTTGGGGGGGCAGACAGCCCATGTGCAGTAGGAATACAACAATCCAGGGTCAGGAAGAGTAAAAGGTCTTAACCAAAAATGTTTAGGGGCTCCTGTCTGGGTCAGTCAGAAGAGCGTGCAACTCTTGATCTTGGGGTCATGAGCTCAAGCCCCATGTTGGGTGTAGAAATTGCTTAGATAAATAAAAAACTTAAAATTAAAAAAAATTTTTCTCAAATATGTGATTTCAAAACATTTACTACATTCTCCACTGTTACTGTATTGTGTCTCCAGGCCCCCCAAGATGCTGCGAAGTAGAAGTGGGGTTTGCTCTCCCTGCTCTGCATGGGTGTAGGGGGAGGGACGTGTGCTCAGGAGTGGCCCACGTGCTTGGGGTGTCTGTCTGCCCAGTGGACCCACCCAGACAGTTGTGGCCTGTGTGGAGGCCCCGGCCCCCCCGTGCCGGACACAGGGGTGGGTGGGGGGACAACCAGGGCCCACGAAGGAGGGGCTTCCCGCTGCATGTCAGTCATGTAGAACAAGGCCAGCCTCACACCCAAACAAGGAGTTCTAGCCTTCTATGTCTGCCCCCAAGCTTTTTGTCAACTGGGGACTATTTTGTTGGTCTGTGTGGCCAATTAGGGGTCTCATTACTCAGGAGGGTCTCCATGCTCAGGAGTTTCTGGGGGAATCAGCCTAGATCCCTACGGGTCATGGGTGTCCTTCCCTGTGGGGGCACAGCCTTCCGGGCCGCTCTCTGCAGACCCTTCCACGCCCCCGTGAGGCTCTGCGGGCCCTGGGCTGGGGTGCGGAGACAGAGGGTGAGGAAGGGCCCTCAGGGGTGCGGTCTGCGTCAGGGTGGTCCCAGTGCCCCTTATTCTCAGACTCGAGAGAGAAACCTGCCTCTCTTAGGAGAACATGCGGGCAGTGATACGGGTTCTTCATGGCCTGAAGTGTCCCCGTCTGAGCCCACCAGGCCTCCCAAACCCCAGGCGCACCCTGGGCTCCTCGTGAAGCCAGAATTGTCCCTGGGCTGAACAGACACAGCGTATATTTGTTGAAGGAAATTACCGTGGGCAATGAGCACATCATTAGCGGAATAATCAGCACATGGCGCCTTCCCGCTGGGGCCGCCACATCTTGTCAACAGGTGTGATCCGGCAACAGCCCTGGGAGGCCCAGTGCGTGCTGCAATTAGCAGCTAATGAGAAGGCCTGTGGTGACCTGCTCTTCCAAGGGAGAGAATGCTGTGGGCGCAGGGCCGGGGAAGGCAGGGGGGCAGAGAGAGGGCGCGGGCACTTCTGGGGGCCTCCCTTTGCACCCACCGGTGCAAGAAGCAGAGGAAGGAGCTGGTCGCCAAGAGAGCCTCACCGCTGCACACACATCCACAGGCACGGAAGCCAAGCATGGGCCACAGAGGCTGCGTCTCTGGGGGGGTGCCGCACCAGCAGGTAGGCTGAGAGGAAGGGAGGAAGCCCCCCATGGCTTTGCCCAACCTGGTGCTAGAAGGAGAGAGCCAGGACGGCCAGTCTGTGTCTTGGGGCCTGCAGGCCATGGCCCGGGAAGCATGGCGAACACACGGTGCGCTCATGGGAGGTTGGGCCAGAGGCTGGTTAGGCCCCGTGGCACACGGCGTGGGGCATCGCAGGCCTGCGTGAGCCAACTGTGCCCAGGCTGTGCAGGGGCAGGTCGGCAGCTGCTCTGTGGCACTCTTCACCCCACCTGCCATGAGAGTATGTCAAGGCCAGGCCGGCAGCCCCGCTGCACCCACAGTCTGTATTCAGCCCCCAAGTCATCAAGTGGGCCATCTGGGGGTCTGGGCAGTGCATGCCTGGTGGCAGAATTGTGGGGCTGCTGGGTGGGGTGGGGTCCTGTTGGGAGACCCCAGGCCTCGGGGCCCACGGACTCCTGGTGTTCACGAGCTTCAGCTCTGCGGGCTCACCCAGCGGCTCTGGGAGCTTGGGTTCTGGAGGAGCAACCCCCTCCGCCATCACTGGCCCCATCCGGGCTCACAGCAGGCCTGTCAGCCCTGGAACCCCCGGTGGAGGTGTAGGGGCCCCAGTGCTGCCCCCCTGGGCTGTCCCTGGGAA